GCAGGGTAGCAGGAAGCTCTCCGCACACTCACCGGACGTGGGCTAGGACTGGGTATGGGGGCTCCTGGAACTCGGCAGAAAATCCTACTCGGCGGGCGGTGTGGGGGAGGCACTGCGGAGTGGTGGGGGCCGGCCCGAGGGGCTGGGAGAGCGTCCAGCCCACGCTGCGCCTGGGCTGGGACTCAACTATTTCTTAAACTGAGAAATAACTTTTACATCTCATGAGCCTTATCTCTCAGTCATTTCAGCTCATTATGGTGGTGCACACCTACAATCCCCAGCACTCCTAGAGAATGAGGCAGGGAGATTATAAGTTCCTGTGAAGCCCAGTCAAATTTTCAAAATCCTTCCTCAAAAATTAAAAATAGAATAAAAGGGCTGGAGATGTAGCTCATTGTAAAGAACCTGCCTTTAATCTCTAGTACCAAAATAGAAAATGTACTTCCTACAATACTACAAAAATAACTCTAGCTTTATGAACAAATATATGTTAGGTCCAAAGAGATATGTTAACTATTTGTTAGGTTATATTTTATAATGCAGATAATAATGTGAGTATCTTTGTATTTTCCTGTGTATTCCATTCAGATGAATTAAAACCTAAAGATGAATGACAAAGAGCAAAAGAATATTATTCTCAGAATCATTTCAATTAGCTATTTAAGTATCATGCATGAACTTAATAGATTCACTATAAAAATTTTACAAGGTCACAAATCAGGATGGTATTTTATAATTTGAAAATGCTGTAATGTTCATTCAAAATACTGTCCGGATAATATTTCTAATATATATGTCTTATTGGTGATCAACACATCTGAGGTTGGGACAGAGAAAATGAAGTGAGAGGTTCATCCCTAAGCTCCATTACCTAATTTTAACTCTAGAAGATCACATTTGTACATTGCAAACATTTAAACACATACGCACACTTTTTCTTTGCTTGAAAAATGTTAAGCAAACAGAGAAAATATTTAAATAACTTCTAAATATCAAATAGTAGAAGATCAAATGTTAGTTAACTTTTCATGCTTTGAGGAACACACATTCAACACCTGGCAATATAAAGTAAAAGATGCATAGCCAGAATGGTAATCAATGTTTCAAAAAAAAAATCTAAGAACTTTAAAATAGCTACATACCAATGGCCCCCTCATCTGCCAAGTCTAGCCATGCACCTATTTAACAAGTCCTAGCTACACATGTGACAAAGTCTGCAAAGTATCTAAATCTTGATTTCTTTTTAAAGACTTTTTTAAAAAAATTGCAGTGCCCCAACTTTTAAGTCTTCCCACATGAGGAGCCGCATTACTTCCCTTCGGTCTCCCCACTTGCCTAAATCGTTCACTCTTCACTTTCCAGTGACCGTTTAAAATAGCCTCCATTCCCCAGCTACCCCCTCCACACCTTTCCTTGACCAGTTCCAGTCTGACTTAGTTACTTTTCACATTGCTGAGACAAAATACTCAACACCCGAAAAGTTAAAGGAAGGAAGGATTATTTGGCTCACAGTTTGCAGAGGTTTCAGTTCACAATCAGCTGGCTCCAAGGCAAGGTGGTATGGCAGAGGGGCATCGCAGAAGAGAAACAGCTGAAGGTGTGGCAGGCAGAAGGCAGCAAGCAGCAAGCTTCTTCTTTCCCTTTTATCCTACTGAGGCTACAAACCTGGATGGTGCTACCCACATCCAGGGTGGGGCTCCCATCATCAGTAAATCCATTTGGGCACACCCAGAACTATGCCAATTTCAGTCAATAGACTGATTTTGTACCTCAGACTTTTCATCTCAGTATCACACACCGAAGATCCAGCCAGCTCTGAAAGCCCACCTACAATAGCTCATGAGGCTCTGAGTGGGGGACATCTAGACAAAACGCCCGACATAGTCTCTGTGAGAGAGGAGGGAAATACCTGCACAGAGGTTGGCAATGCCAGGCTGCACACACCCTTCTCGCGCCTTTCCCATCCAGCATCCAGCTCTCGGCTTTCTTCACTGTGACACCCATCTGAGGGGCTCACAGTGTTGTGGCCAAGTTACTTCTCTGATATTACAACAGTCCTAAAGCCTCAGGACTAGGAGATTAGGACAAGTGGGGCTGCATTCCAAAAGCAAACTACAGAAAGTTAGATATGTGACAATCAAGGCTAGAATCCCTCCCAAGCACATGCAGTTGCATGCCTGTAGTCTAGTATGGCATAATACTTATGTACTTTGGGTGTGTCTGGGATTATATAGAGATTTGTGGGCTAAGTACTTAAGCACCCAAATCACACTGCTTTTGCAGGAAAACACATGTCACATATCTTCCTTTTAAAAGCATTAATGACCTTTCAGTTTGTCTATTCTATAGTTCTATAAACGCCCAAACAACCTCATTTCAAAAATAAATGGTCCTTATTTCATCATGAGTGAGAAAAACTAAATATTGCTCTCAGGAAAGAGCAAGTTTTATAAAGCAGTATTACCGATATTGAGGATTTCGTGCCCAGACTCCAGTTCCAACGGAGGCTCCGACAATGACCATTAACTTCCACAGCCATATGGGAGCAAAGACAGCCCAATAATTCCACTGAATGATGCCATCCAGACGAAGGGCCAGCAGCACGGAGAATAGCAGCAGACAGGCATAGATGAGGAATTTACTAGGAGGAAAGTAAAATGATTAGGAAGACTCACTTTTATCCACAGGTCATTCTGAAATGGGAAGGAACAACAGCAATATTTTTCATCATGTAAAGAGCCACTAATTCACCAACTGCTTATTAAAAACTTCTCTATAGTAGACGTACTGTGCTCAGAAGAGAAGCATAAAGGGCAATAAAACAAGTCCCCTGCTTCCAAAGGCTTCCTGAGGAGGGAGCCCGCAGAGCGGCCGACAATGAAGCCAGGAGGCACTAGGCTACACTGTGTTTTGGGCAGGGTGTGACGGGAGCAGGAGGAGGAAATGTGGATTCTGTCTGAGTACTGGAAGCAGAGTAACAACAGAAATGGCTTCCGAGGACATTTGTTCAGAAGACAAGGAAGGAGATGAGATGAAATGAGGAGACACTCTAGGCAGAAGGAGCTAGCTATAACAAGACACGAAGAGCAAAAGAAGTTAGCATGTTCCTTTGGTTCCCTTTGTAAGTTGCAGCCATCTACCCTATTCATATGGTATGCACCTGTTAGTACATGTACCATACTTTCTGTGGCTAAATATGTATATGTACATACCATTCACATCTCATGTAACAAGAAAAGTACTGTAGAGGCTGTCCTAGAAATATTATTTAGAAATTATATGACTGAGGACTTCTGCTTCCAGCCTTGATGTGATAACCAGACTAGAATTCAAATTCCCACCTTACAAAAGGAACTGGACAGGGCCAGTCAGATAGCTCAGCAGACTAAAGCACATGCTTAGGCAGAGTGCAGTGGCCAGGGTTCAATCCCCATTGTGTCATGCTGGTCCTGTCCCCAGGGCATGCTGAGATGACAGTTGAGATTGGGAGTGGTGGTAAGCATCTGTAACCGCAGTGCTTGGGAGGCTGAAAACAGGAGAATCACTGTAAGTCCGATCTACATAGTGAGACGCTGTAGACCCTGTACTAAACACATAAAATAATAAAAAAAGGAACTGGACAAATCCAGCTACAGCAGTGTACCCCTATAATCTCAGATACATGGGAGGCTGAGGTAGGAGAATCACTGTGACTTCAAGGCCAGCCTGGACAACACAATGAATTCAAGGCCAGCCTAAATGACATAACAAAACTCTATTTTTAAAAAAGACTACTAATACTCTCTCAATAGCTGATATTATACAGAAAATAACTGAAGATATAAAATATTGTAACACTATCAACCAGCTTAACTCAAGCGACATTGAGGAAGATTTCCTTTGAACAGCAGAATACACATTTTTGTCAGGTGCACATGGAAAATTCACCAAGGAAGACTAAATTTGGGGCCATAAAACAATTTAAAAAGCACTGAAATCTTAAAAAGAAAATCTGTAAGTACAATGAAATTAAAGTAGCAATCAATACAAACATTGGAAAATTTCTCAAAATAGCTGAAAATTAAACATCACATTGCCAAATAACTCATAGGTAAAAGAAAAAGCCATAAAGATAGTTAAAAAGTATTTTTCACTGAATGACAGTGAAAATATAAAGCAGTACTAAAGAGGAAGCCTAACATCAACTACTTACATTAGGAAAAAAGGTCTCTGCATTAGCACAGCCACTATAGAAATCAGTGTGGAAGCATAAACATTGTATTGTCTCCCTAGTGTACAAACCTGAAAGTGTAAATAAAATCTGAAAGGTACAACAGATACAGTAAAAGGGCAAGAAATTGCTCAAAGGGGAAGAATAATTGGGATGAGGGAAAGGAGAAAAGAAAGAAGGGGAAAAACACGTCTGCATACACACAGAATAGTTAGGATGACTGCACTACTAATTTTTATTTATTTACTGAAGGGAACAGTTAATGCTTAAAATCTTTATTTTGAACAATTTTACATGCTTGTGCCTGGTAATCTAAGCCATTACGCTGAAGACAACAAAGGTGCAATATAACAAGCACTGTTGAATTCCTATCATTTGTTTTTCTTGAAATTCTGTATTGTTTCTAATGTTTTAGCTAGTTTTTAAATTTAATTTTATTTTGAAGAGCAAAAATAAATAGAAAAAAAGACAAGCAGGGTAACATACAACAGTACCTATGTTAGAGATTTTCAAAACAGGAATAGCTAATTAACAATGGTTGTTATAGTATCTCTATTGTCAAATTGGTTGCTCAGATTCAGTAACGCAAGATTGGGAAAATAACTGAATACTGTATTCTCTTTAAAATAAATAAACCACTAAACTAGAACTCTCACATTATCCAACATCGCTACTATGTAGTGGATATCCGAGGAAATGAAAGCAGTATACTGAAGAGATACCTGCACTGGCAACTTTACTGCAGCACCATTAACAATAGCCAAGATGTGCAATTAAACTAACTCTTCATCAAAAGATGAATGGATAAAGAAAATGTGGACATATATCTACTGGAATGCTACTGAGTCATGAAAAATGAAATCATACTCCTTGTGTTAACATGAATGGAACTAGACATCACTATGATACATGAAATAAGCCAGATGTGGAAAGATAACTGTCATCTGACATCACTCTTAGGTGGAATCTTGATCTCATAGAATCTGGGAGCATTATGGTTTTTACTGAGGGTTGGAAGAATAGGGCAATGGAGGCATGGTTGGTCCATAAGTACTATGTCACAGACAGGACAAGGAGCTCTGGTGTGCTGCTGCAGATAATGATAATATACTGTATAGTTCGAAAAGCTGGAAGAGGATTTTGGAAGCTTTCTCCATAAAGAAATGAAAAATGAGAAGATAGCTACGTTTAAACCAAATTAAGGGGGCCAGGGAGATAGCTCCATAGAATAAGTGCTTCCCTGGCAAGCACAAGGACCTGAGTTCAATCCCCAGTTCTGGAAAAAAAAATTAAACATTACATAATAAGTGTGTGTGTGTGTGTGTGTGTGTGTGTGTGTGTGTTGATATACACACTTTTATTGGGTACAACCTTTAATGTATCAGCTATAAATAAACTTGAGTTAAAGAAAGCAATGTTTAGGGCTGGCGGGATAGCTCAGTGAACTAAGTGCCTGCTTAGGCAAGCGCAGGGACCAGGGTTTGGTCCCCAGCACCACATGCCACGCTGGCCCCACCCCTCGGTATGCTGAGCAGGCCACTGATACTAAGCATAGTGGCACATGCCTGTAATCCCAGCACTGGAGAGGCTGAAAACAGGAGGATCACTATAAGTCCAAGTTGCATAGTAAGACCCTGTACCAAATACAGAAAAAAGGTTAAATTTTTAAAAATATAACAGAAGCTCACAAGTCAATGATAAAAACACTAGGAAGAGCAGAAAAATTTAAAAAGTAAATAGGACTAGGAAGATAGGGCTGAGAATCTAGCTTGGCGGTCTAATCACCTGCCTTGCAAGCACAAGGACCCAGGTTCGATCCCAAGTTCCACATGCCATGCTGGCCCTGGATTCCTGTTGCGACATGCTGACCACCAAAACCGGGCGTGGTGGTGCACACCTGTAATCCCAGCACTGGGGAGTTTAAGACAGGAGAATCACTAAGAGTCTGAGTTTGAGCTGTGAATCTGAGTCTGAGCTGTGTAGTGAGACTCTGTACCAAATAAATAAACAGAATGAAATAAATGTAAGCATAGAAATCAATTAAAAACAATAGAAAGACATTAGAGAACAATGAAACTAAAAGATGGGTCTTTGAAAAGCTAAAGAAATTAGTAAATCTATAATTAAAGTGACCAGGAAAAAAGTATACACAAACTACAAAGAATGGAAATAGGGGTATCACTACAAATCCCACAGATACTGAAAGGACAAGAATTGGAGGATATTATGAGCTATTTAATGCTGGGAAATTTTTCAAAGAAACACACTGCCAATGCGAATCAATAGAGAAAAGTGTGTATTTCAGTAAACAACACTGGAATGAATGGGTAAATGGAAATAGTGCTTCGAATCTTAACCCCATAGCACAAAAACTTACATGAAATGGATCAGAGACCTAAATATAACACCCCAAACTATAAAACATCTAAAACACATAGGAAAAAATTTTTGCAACCTAAAGCTAGGCAAAGATTTCTTATATGACATACAAAGTTGGATTTTTCTCAAAATTAAAAACACTCTCTAAAAGATTAAGAAAATGAGAACTAAGACACAAACAGGGAGAATATATTCTCAAACATACACCTAAAAAAGTACTTGTATTCATTGCAATACACACACACACAGATTAAAAACAGATTAAAAACGCCCTCAAAATATAAAATATACAAAAGGCAAATCATATGCAAAGACGACCACTGTTTTCAGTCATTAAAAGTGCCATTTTTATCCACAATGAGATGAAATTAGTCTAGAGGATAGCTAAAACCAAAATGAATGCCAGGTGCTGGCGAAGCTGCAGAGCAACTGTAATGCTCACATATGCTGGTGGAAACACAAAGCAGTACAGACACATAGAAAACATTTCAGCAGTTCTTTATAGAGTTTAGCATGTACCTGTATTATGACCTATCAATCCCATACCTAGGTATTTACCCAAGTAAAAGAAAAAAGAACCCAGAGGCTTGTATTCAAATGTTCATAGAAGCTTTACTCCTAATAGCTACTGAAAACTATGTAAATGTCCATAAACTAGTGAAATGCTGACCAATCGTGGTCCACGTGTTTAATGGAATACTAATCAGCAAGATAAAGCAACAAACCATAAATGCTTACAATGTGGATAAAACTCAAATGTCTTATGCTAAGTCAGGTGAGACTGAAAATGCAATACACTTACAACTCCACTTATTGCACACTCTGGCATAGGCAACATGATTAGACACTGAAAACAGATCATTACAGTTACCACTAGTTTTTTCCTGCCAGGGTCAGGGAAGACTGCCTACAAGGGAGCATGAGGGAAATTTCTGCAGTGACAGGACAGTTCTACATCTGTTGCTCAAGGGTATGGATCTATCAAAACTCAGAGGACTGTATGCTAAAGTGAGTAAATTTCACTGCATGTAAAACATACCTTAATAAATGTG